GACAGGACAGGACCCCCAGAGGGGTCAGCAAGGGAGACCGCAACCGGCCGGCCGAGCGGCGTAAGGGTAGTGCGGTCTCGAAAGAAGGAGCGAGAAGCTCCGGAGTCAAGTGTGAAAGTGAGGGAGGACGAGGACGACGCAGTACCTGAGAGCGCAGTCTCACCAGTACCTGAGAGCACAGACGCACTGGCACCTAGAGCAGCAGCCTCACAAGCACCTAGCGCAGCAGTACCAATGCCCGGGTCGGGCTGGAAACAACGGTAACCCTCATTCTCCTCACTATAATCCACAACATACATAGCAGCAAGGATAGCATCAAAACCAAGATCAAAGATCGCTACACCAGCCCTGAGAAGCTCATCCCAGCGAGGGATCTCACTAGCCCCAGGGAACTGCTGACGCCAAGCGTCCGTCAGGCGGCCAAAGCAGCGCTGGGTGGCGTGGGCACCCCCACACTGCTCACCCGCGCGGTCGCCGGAACGAAGAACGTAGGTGCAGGGACCAGTACCCCCACCCCTCTGACGCCCAGCGTACCACTCACGAAGCTGCTGAGGCGGAGGGATGTCCCGCGAGCGCTGCTGCTGCTGCCGTTGCGAGCGCTGGCCACCACCACCGCCGCTACGCTGCTGGGTACCACCTCGACCAGCTCCACCTCCTCCACCACCACCGCCGCCTCCGCTGCCGCCTCCACCGCCTCCACCTCCGCCGCCTCCACCTCCGCCGCTGCCTCCACCACCACCGCTGGCACCACCACCACCGTCTCCGCCGCTGCTGCCACCACCACCACCACCCCCGCCACTAGTCCCGCCGCCACCCCCACTCCCTCCGCCGCCACCGCCGCCACCGCCACCGCCGCCTTCAGCTCCACCCGCGCCCTTGCCCCCCTTGCCTTTGCTGGAGCGACGTCTCCCACTAGGGGCAGACGCCGCGCCGACCGACTCGAGACCAAGCAGGTCGGCAGCAGCAGCAGAGGCAACAGAGGGCAGCAAGGGGGAAGGAGAGCACCCCTCAAAGATGGGGGTGCGAGGGTCACCACGAGAAGCACCTACAGCGACTATGCTCTTCTCCGCTGCGAGGAGGGCCTTCTCGAGGAGGTCGACGGTGAGGGTGGTGGGTCAGACTGCGAGAAAGTGGTCCCTGACGACGCGAAGGGAGTCAGGGAGGCGCGCGACTACGTAGTAGAGAGCGATGTACATGGGGGGGGGGTTCTTAGCGCAGAACTCAGCAGGAAGGGCGGCGCGGTAGCGAGTGTCACTAGTGCGGAGGTGCGTAATGAGGTCAGCGACAGTGGGAAAGGCAGAGAGGTCAGGAAAGAGGTAGGGAAGCATGAGACGGCTCAGTGCAGCAGTGGCAGGGGAGGAGTAGCGCGCAACTACAGCGTCGTACAAGGTCTGAGCACTCTTGTACTGACTAAAGTGCGCACGCTCAGAGGTAGGGAGGTGGCGACGCACAGCAAGACGTGCAGCAGCATCGCGGGTGGCCCACTTAGAGCAGACAGTGGGATAAGCATCAGCAGCAGGAGCAGGAGAGGCGCCAGAGGTGAGGTCAAAGAGAGAAAGGTCGTCAGCCCTGTCGCACTGTAAGAACAGCTGCAGGTCGTCTAACCAGACCTCAAAATCAATGGCGCGACCCTCAGCGTCGAAAGCTAGGACACTAGGGGTAGCCATGGCGACGACAGCGACGCAGTGCAAGCAGTAGGCAAAGAGCTCGCAGTGTCAGTGGGACTGTGCTCACCAGGCAGGGCAGGTCGTGAAGCTCTGCAGAAAGGTGGCTCAGCGACCGGACGGCTCGGGTGCACAGCGGCTCGGCTCCCGGGCGGCGCGGTGGCTGGGCGGCTGGGGCGCAGGGCGGCTCGGCTCCCGGACGGCTTGGCGGCTGGGCGGCTCGGGTGCAGGGCGGCTCGGCTCCCGGACGGCTCGGCGGCTGGGCGGCTCGGGTGCAGGGCGGCTCGGCTCCCGGGCGGCTCGGTGGCAGGGCGGCTCGGGTCCCGGGCGGCTCGGCGTTGGGCAGCTTGGCTCCCGGGCGGTTCGGCTGCTGGGGCGGCCCGGCCGGGAGATGCAGGGGCGGGGCCGTCAGGTGCAGCGGCGGGTCGACCGGTGCAGTGGCGGGCCGGCAGGTGCAGCGGCGGGCCGGCAGGTGCAGCGGCGGGCCGGCAGGTGCAGGCGGCGGGCCGTAGGGTGCAACGGCGGGCCGTAGGGTGCAGCGGCGGGCCGGCAGGTGGAGCGGCGGGGCCGTCAGGTGAAGTGGCGGGCCGCTGGGTGCAGCGGCGGGCCGGCAGGAGCAGCGGCGGGCCGGCAGGAGCAGCGGCGGGGCCGTCAGGTGAGGCGGCGGGCCGGCCGGAGCAGCGGCGGGCCATAGGGTGCAGCGGCGGGGCCGTCAGAGGCGGCGGGCCGTAGGGTGCAGCGGCGGGGCCGTCAGAGGCGGTGGCGGGGCGGCGGCAGTAGAGGCGGGGCCGCGTCAGGGGAGGCGGCGGGGCCGCGTCAGGGGAGGCGGCGGGGCCGCGTCAGGGGAGGCGGCGGGGCCGCGTCAGGGGAGGCGGCGGGGCCGCGTCAAGCAGGCGGCGGGGCCGCGATCAGGAAAGGTGGCGGGGCCGCGTCTGAGGGACAGCGGGGCCGCGAGGGAAAAGGCGACCCGAGGGGTCGCTAAAAAAAAAAGGCGCGCCTCGGGGCGCGCTTCGGTGGGCCCTAAAAAAACGGTCCTAAGGCAGGACCCGCTCTATACCATGTGAAGCAAGGAAAACAGGAATGAAATGACTAAGGAAAGATTGGGTACAAATACAACCCTAGAAACCCTGTACCCCATATGTGCTACCCCACTATAGCCTACAGCAACTATGTCATATAAATCTGACAGTTTCTTCGCACCGACACTTCCCTGCCGCCGTTCTACATCCTCGTGTACGTCGACGACTTGGTCTTTGCCACAGCGGACACTGCTGGACTCGCCTACGTGAAGTCCGAGCTGCTGAAGAGACACACGTGCACAGACTTGGGTGAACTGCGCAGCTACTTTGGCTTGCAGATCACTCGGGACAGAGCACGCCGCACCATTACCTTGACTCAGTCACACATGGTGCAGCAGGTCCTTCAGCGCTTCGGCTTCACGTACTCCTCGCCTCAGGCCACTCCTCTGCCTACTCGCCACTCACTCTCAGCTCTGCCTTCGGATGAGTCCGTAGAGTCGAGTGGTCCGTATGCAGAGCTTATTGGCTGCCTCATGTACCTGATGACCTGCACACGACCTGACCTTGCATACCCTCTGAGCATTCTTGCACGCTATGTTGCTCCTGGGAGACACCGACCAGAGCACATGGCTGCAGCGAAGAGGGTATTGCGCTACCTGTGCAGTACGTCGGGCATGGGGCTAGTGCTTGGAGGGCGGAGTCCAGTGGTCCTTACCGGCCACGCGGACGCTTCTTGGGCTGACGACCAGGCTACGCAGCGGTCGTCACAGGGTTACACCTTCAGCCTTGGTTCCGGCTCTGTCTCGTGGCGGTCTACTCGCTCGTCTTCGGTTCTCGGCTCCAGTTGTGAGGCTGAGATCTACGCCGGGGCCATGGCTACACAGGAGCTTCGCTGGCTCACCTACCTGCTGACTGACCTTGGAGAGCCGCCTCGTTCTCCTCCAGTGCTGTACGTAGACAACAAGGCCATGCTGGCCTTGTGTCGAGAGCAGCGCTTGGAGCACAGAACGAAGCACATTGCTCTCCGCTACTTCCTTGCTCGTGAGCTGCAGCAGCGTGGTCAGTTGCGACTTGCGTACGTGGCCTCTGAGGCCAACACTGCTGATGTGTTCACCAAGGCACTCGCGCCTTGTGACCATCAGCGCTTTTGCACCCAGCTGGGTCTTGTGCCTGTCTTGCCTCACTTGCTCTCCTCTTGACTTCACTTGTACTGTGACATATATATATACCTGCTCTTGCTTGTCTAGTTTTATATATATGTCTGTACTCCTGCATGTGAACTGGCCTCTGGCCCTGCTCTTGTGCTCGGACTGTGTGGTGACTTTGTGATCCACCCTGAGCTTGCTTTGCTTTGCTTGACTAGTCTTGTGACCCCTTGTTCTCCCCCACTTTGCCTATGGGGGTGTGTCAAACATTATATATGTTATGCTTGTGTAGGCTACAGTGGGTTAGCCTATAGGGGGTACATAATTCTAGGGTTTCCTACTTGTACTCATTTCACTGCTAGTTCATCCATTCATGTTCGCTTATTCTCACAAGGGGATGGGTTTGGAAGCCGCACGGGTGCCGCAAGAAGAGCGAGAATGGCAAGGATGGAAGTGCGGCGGCAAATGAGGAGTGGTCGCAGGGGACAGCAGCAGGCACCATCACAGCAGGCACCATCACAGCAGGCACCTTCTCAGCAGACACCATCTGAGCAACGACCATTTCAGCAGCCACCATCTCAGCAAACACCGTCAAATCAGAGAAGGGTGCATCAGCATTCAACTCAGCAGCAACCATCCCAGCAGCCATCAATCATTGCAGTGCACGCTTCTGTTTCGTTCATTTCAACTGTACTCCGCCTTTTTGCTTGACAAACGCGGCCCCCTCACAGCTTGCTAGGCCTGGCCTTCGAGAAGGAGCATGGGAAGCGCACAATAGAGGAGATGAAAGCTCGGCTTGGAAGATTCAAGCCGCACGTCATGGAGGTGTGTTGGCGAGCAGTTCGCCTGTCGTGACGTTTGTTCATCCATGCTATTATTGCAACCCTAAAAACATGGTGCAACCTGGCGGATGGTGAACCCATCTGCACGATGCTCCTTTCTCGCGTATTATAATGCCCAGTCTAGAATGCTCTCGTTTGTATGTTGCTCGGGTGCAAAGTGTTGCCATCGTATGTGCATGTTGCTATAGCGTACAGGGTGTTCAGCTATGCACGGTGCGTTTGTGACATAGTACATTTAACAAACCCCGTTTAACAAAAGATGCACCGTTGTCACGCCTGTCCGCTATTCTTTACGCTCCATGTGCCTATTGTGTATTGCAGGCGTGGCACATGCCTCTGCAGCAGAACCTTTTTGACTGCGGCATCTTCGTCTGCCAGTACATTCATGCGCTTGTGGAGGCGTGCTTCGAAGGTGCTGAGAATGGGGTGCGGTTCAGCATGAGCCCATTGGCGTACCGTCGTGGGTTACGGGATGATGTGTGCGCTCTTGCAGAGGGTCGGCTGATCGGCGAGCTCACGGCGGCAGGGCATGAGATCCCTTGTGGCAATGAGATAAGGAAACCACCTGAGGTCGATGTGATTGGTGATGAGGTGGAGGATAGGGAGTGGAGAGCAGAGATGGCAGAACGGATGCATCGGCTGGAGGTTCGCAACGAGAGTCAGGCGGTGGCTATTGCCAAGCTTGAGAGGCAATCACGGGAGCTTATGCTACATCGTCCTCCGCATCATGGTGTTGACTCTGCGGCTGTAGGGGAAGGGCATGGTGATGTGGCACCGGACGGTGGACCTGGTGCTCCGGCACCCGTGGTAGTCATGGGTGGGGACAATGGTGGCAAACATGACAGCATAGGAGGTGCACATGGTGAGGGTCCTGTGGCTGACGTTGAGACGGGTGCAGTGAATGTCAGTGTGCGTGAAGGTGGTGTGGAGGGGGATACACCTGTCGGTGCGAGGAGTGACAATGGAAAAGCGAGGGTGCATGATGCAGGTGCTGGAGGCATGATGGGTACTACGGATGGTAACAGAGGTGCTGGAGAGGCCGTGGGTGCTGGGCATGGTGTGACAGCATCGAATGTGAATGTGGTGCCTGCACACAGCGCAGGGACTGAGACGACGAGTCGCAACACGACGCGTGGTCGAGCTCCTAGCTCAGGTTACACAGGTATAAGCAAACGGGAAGGTAAGTGGGCCGCACGACTGTGCATCGATAGCGCTAATAACAAGTTCCTTGCGCTGGGACGGTACACCGAGATCTTGGATGCCGCAACAGCTTATGCAGCAGCCGCTCACATCTGCCGACCGTCCATCTCCAGTTCTAAAATGGTGGAGTTGAGCGAGGAGGATAGGAGGTGCTTGGAGGGTCTGAGTTCGATTGGGGTTGAGAGGATTGTGGAAGCCAAGCGGTGGCCGGAGTGGAGGAACTGGCGTGTAGTGCTCAGCAGCCTCCCCGAGCCTTCCACCCCAGCGCCAGCAGGAGTTCACACACAGGCTCCACCTCCCTTTTCCCACCAGCACCCTAGACCCACGTTCGGCAACTACCACACGCCAGCTGCCGCTTTCGTGGGACAGGCCAGTGCATCCCTAAACCATGGTGGATGGCAGCCGTACACCCAGAGCAACCATCTGTCCAACCTCCATTTTCCATCCCAGCAGTATGCATTCAACCACATCCCTATCCATCCGTTCAGCCAGGTGCAAGAACCTATGTCGGTACCCCCAGCCGGTTCAGTACCCAACCCTGCTGGCCATGTCGCAACACAGAACACAGCACCCCATCCGCATGCCCTACCCACAACACCGGCCGTTGCACCCAGCACGGCACATCCACAAGTCCAACAAGTACCGCCCTTAGAGCAAACTGCGCAGGCTAGGGTAGCTGGCATGACAGATTCCCAGCACAGCTTGAGCATGACAGCTGCACCCAACAATCCCAACCCCCCGTCTCACGGCTCCACACTCGCAAACGAGGCAGCAACAGGTGAGATGTCTGGTGCTGTCAGAGTTGTGCATAACGAGAGCCTGTTATTTTCCTAACGTTGCACTATAGTATTGAAATTGTTTTCTGACCGTTTGCAGGGGCGGCGGGCGACATAATCGATGACCTCCTTGGTCAAGCAACACAATAACTGCTGTGACATCACGATGTACATGAAATTGCTTTATCCATAAACATAAAGACGTTCCACTTAAACCTTGTTAGTCATGCGTAGATCTTGACATGCCCATAGACATATAGGCGTAGCATTATAACCCTTTGCCACTGCATTCTACATGAAAGGGGACCGCTGTGCTATGTAGAGATGACACCAAAACAGAACTCAAGAAAGTGGCTGTATGGGATTTAAGAGTATGTTTTATATGCACCCTAAGCACACAAAATTGGACAAATCATATGCGCACTAATATTTGTTAGTGCGCGGTCCTATTTTCTATATGGTTGCCATTTCATTTAGACGGGGATGATTGGACGCTCAATGACAAAGCATATCCTGAGATTAAAACAAACCAATCACGCGCGGTAATTTAGTTTATCGCGAATTGATGGCCGATCATTTCGGTATATGATGGGGAACTCAATGATGGCGCCTGATTGGACGCTCAATGGCAACATATGCACCGCGCATGTTTTTTACGAATCATGTGCGTGCATTAGGGGTGTGGCTGTTTGCTTCGGGTCTATAGGAATATATGATCGAGAAGTTATATGCTCGATCGCTGATTCGTTCGGAATTAGATGGACCGCGCGCTCATTGGTCGCGCATTTGGCCGAAACTGACCGGTCAATGTACAGCTGGTCGGTTTATTGTACAGTGGGCGGGCCACTTTCGCGTCCGTGAGCCTGGCGAAATTTTAAGGTGCGGATCATAACGGAACACCACCTAGGAATACCACTCGCACGAATAAGGAATTTCGGGGCTACAAAGCCCCGTAGGGTAATGCGCCGGTGAAAAAAAAGCGAGCAGGAATCCCCTGGCGTGGCCACTCGAGTAATTATCACCCAATTTCGTGGCCACTCGAGTAATTCGAGGCCCCCCGAGAGAGGATGAATCACCCGATTGGCCACTGGAGAAATTCTCTCGGGGCCAGCTCACTCAACTCATTCCCTCGCATCATTTCTGTGTGGAGCCTCTACGACATTCCCAAGGCCCTCTAAAAGTAAGGGCCTTTTCCATTCAGACACAAGTGGGAAGAATTTCATCTTTCATCAGTTTCTTCGCATCCCAGGCATCTTACATGTAGCTTATGGCCCATGTAAGCTGCAACCAGGTTCCGCCATTTCAAGATTCAGCATTGTTCTGACGAAATTCTGGTTCACAACATTCCACTTTACCGACGGCTAACTCATTATTCCGTATATAGTGAAGTTATTGCTAGAGCCCTGTATTACAAGCTGATTGCGTCAAGTTCGCGTCCATGGCTAGCGACGGTGCAACAGATGCAGCGTCGTCGCCTCTTGATGGGTCCTTGTGTGGTCACGAGACTCTGGAAACTATGCTGAAGGCCCACCTTCCCAAGGATAAACTCGAGGTATCTTAGCCTGGGATTCAAAATTCCATTGCAACTTTAAGCAATTTTATTATACTTTAGCTCTCCCGATATTTTACGATGTAAGCTTGAGCTATCCGACAAATTCTCAATGCGAACAGGAAGCTCTTCGCGTCCTGCACGGTCATTCCAATGGTGAAGGGTTGGTATCCTCAGTCACCCTTCCAGAAGCAGCAACGGAGGCAGCACAACGGCTTGACTTCGACCTACAGGTATTTTTGCCTGATGATTGAATATTATTATGCCTTTGGACTGCTTTCTGTCTGTTGGTAATGCTGGCTAGTTCAAGCTTTTCTCCCCTTTCACGACTCTTACACTTTCAGTCTGTCAATTTTGAAATAAACTACTTTTATTGTTTTGCCCGGATCATTAATGTTTCCCAAACCAGGCCTACAATTTCGGCGCTTCTCGCGAGCAGCTTCGGGAGCCACGTGTCGTTCGAGCAGCCCTGATCCAGAACCGAATCGTGCTTCCCACCACAGCGCCTTTCGCGGAGCAACGCAGCGCGATCATGGGCCGCGTGACAGAGATAATCGAAGTAGCAGCGTCGTGCGGAGTTAATATCCTTTGTCTACAGGAGGCATGGCCTATGCCCTTCGCGTTCTGTACCCGGGAGAAGCACTGGTGCGAATTTGCAGAGGTCGTTCCGGAGGCTAGTAGCAGTAACGGGGGTGGTAATAACGGGATGGGCTGTAACGGTACTGGCAACAGCAGCAGCGGGAGCAGTGGCGGGAGTGGTGGTGCTGGTGCTGGTGCTGGTTTGAGGGGGAGAGAGGTGGGGCCGACAGTGGCTTTGGTGTGTGAGCTGGCGAGACGGCACAACATGGTGATTATAAGCCATGTGCTCGAAAGGGATGTGATGCACGGCGACACTGTGTGGAACACTGCCGTTATCGTGGGCAACAAAGGGAACATCATTGGGAAGCACCGCAAGGTGAGCCAGGAGTCACTGCGGCAAGGAAAAGGGCCTTTGAGTGTGCTACAAAGGGATGTGACTCACGGCGACACTGTGTGGAACACTGCTGTCATCGTGGGCAACAAAGGGAAAATCATCGGGAAGCACCGCAAAGTGAGACTTGGGACTCACTGTGGGGGGGGGGAGGGGGTTTTTGAGTGTGCTTGAATGGGATATGACTCATGGCGACACTGTGTGCAGAAGCGATAAGGGGAATATGGCTCACAATATTTGGGGAATATGGCTCACTCACGTCCCATCCCTTCCTTTCACGTTTGAGAATTCTCAAAATTCACTGTTCATGCCATCCCCTCCCCCTCCTCTTCTGATATACCCTGCTTTTCCTCCTCGTTAGAATCACATCCCGCGGGTGGGTGACTTTAACGAGAGCACCTACTACATGGAGGGAAACACAGGCCACCCGGTGTTTGAAACGGAGTTTGGGCGAGTGGCAGTCAACATCTGCTATGGCCGCCACCACCCCCTCAATTGGATGGCCTTTGCCCTTTACTTACCCCACCACCTACCCTTCCCTTTCCCGGCTTTCACACCATTTTCATCCTCTCCTCCTCTTCTGTATGCCCACCCTCCCTTGCCTCCCTCGCCAGAATCACATTCCGCGGGTGGGTGACTTTAACGAGAGCACCTACTACATGGAGGGCAACACGGGCCACCCGGTGTTTGAGACGGAGTTTGGGCGAGTGGCAGTCAACATCTGCTACGGCCGCCACCACCCCCTCAACTGGATGGCCTTTGCTCTCAACGGAGCGGAAATCATCTTCAATCCGTCTGCCACTGTGGGAGGGCTCAGTGAACCGCTGTGGCCAATCGAGGTGAGGTGGTGGGTGGAAGAGGGTGGGTACGAGGGAACTGGGGAGGGAACATCTGCTACGGCCGCCACCACCCCCTCAACTGAATGGCTTTTGCACTGAACGGAGCAGAGATCATTTTAACCCTTCTGCCACTGTGGGAGGGCTCAGTGGACCGTAGCGGCCGCTACAACCCCCTCAACTGAATGGCTTTTGCACTGAACGGAGCAGAGATCATATTTACCCCTTCTGCCACTGTGGGAGGGCTCAGTGAACCGCTGTGGCCGATCGAGGTGAGGTGGTGGGTGGAAGAGGATGGGTAGGTGGGAACTGGGGAGGGAACATCTGCTATGGCCGCCAGCACCCCCTCAACTGAATGGCTTTTGACCTCACCCTTCTGCCACTGTGGGAGGGCTCAGTGAACCGCTGTGGCCAATCGAAGTGAGGTGGTGGGAGAAGGTGTGGGAGGAGGGGTGAGAGCAGGCTGGGAAAAGGGAAAAGGGAAAAGAGAGGGTGGGAAAAGGGAAGATAGGGAACAGGGGAAAAGGATGTTTGGGCATCTGGGGTGGACCAAAACAATTCACCGAGAAGAAATCCGCCTGCTCTCTCCCTTGCTTCTCTTTCCCCTGCTGCTCTGGGCTCCAATGCACCCACCACCCCTCCAGGCGCGGTGAGCAGCCATAGCCAACAGTGTGTTTGTGGGGGCAATCAACCACGTGGGTACAGACCACGTGGGCACAGACCTTCCCCCACGCCCTCACCTCCTGCCTTCCCCACCCACCATTCTCCTTTGATTCTCCGTCCCTTGTTGCTCTCGCTCATATGCTCATCCCCCCACCAGGCGCGGTGTGCAGCCATAGCCAACAGTGTGTTTGTGGGGGCAATCAACCGCGTCGGCACAGAGACCTTCCCCCACGCCTTCACCTCGGGGGACTGCCGGCCTGCCCACAGCGACTTCGGGCATTTCTATGGCTCGTCCTACTTCGCTGCTCCTGATGGCTCGCGCACCCCCGCTGCCTCTAGGTGCCGGGACGGGCTCATGATCGCCGACCTAGATTTGAACCTGTGCCGCCAGGTGGGTGGTTGAGACGTGGGGTGCACTGCAGGGGACGGGACAAGGGGCTACGATATGAATTTGGGGTTCTGAATGTGCCTCGACCTCCCCGCTGCTTTGAGATGCAGGAACGGGCTCATGATAGCCGACCTGGATTTGAACCTGTGCCGCCAGGTGGGTGGACGAGAGTGAAGGAGTGGGAGTGGGTGATGTATGAGAAATTTCAGGTCTCTGAATGTGCCTCGCGCACCCCCGCTGCCTCTGGGTGCCGCGACGGGCTTATGATAGCCGACCTGTTTTGAGATGTCTCAAAACACTTCTGTTTACACGTGGCTTATGATAGCCGACCTGGATTTGAACCTGTGCCGGCAGGTGGGTGGGAAATGGAGGGACGCGGGGAGGAACGCAGGAATGCAAGGAGGTGTGCAGGGGTGTGGGTATGCAGGGATGCAGATGGTAGTGCTTCTGGAGCGTTCAGCTCTTCCCCA